CTCATTGCAGAAATATTTGCATTTAGAATTTCTCTTACGATCTTAACTTTGACAGACCTAACCCATCTCCGCATCTGTCCCGTGTTACAGCCTCTCTCTCCTAAGCTGGCCGCGGTTGCCTGGGTACTGCAAAATTCTCTTACACATTCGTATCTCAATATTACTTATCATAGCGTTCTCCGCTTGCAAATCCCGGAATTCAAAACAAGGCTAATACTTTGACAATGGAAAACCTTCCCCCCATCGCTGTCACTGAACAGAATCCTTTCTGTCTGGAAATGATGAAACGGCTCAACATACAAAGAAAACAAGGCCAATTATGCGACATAACTTTGATTACGAAAGATGACCAAGAGTTAAAGGCTCACAGGAATGTCCTTTCCGCAGCGAGTCCGTTCTTTTGCAAGCTTCTTCAGAGCGACATGAGAGAAAATCGGGAAGGGGTCGTTCGTTTTGAGGAGATTTCGGGATCTGTCATGGAAGATGTATTGGAATTCATCTACACTGGAACTGTGGAAGTAACTCAAGAAAATGCTGAAGAGTTGGTCGCTGCAACGAATTATCTCATTGTCCCAAATTTGAAAACAATCTCTGGTCGATATCTACAACACCAAATGTGTAAATCCAACTGTATTTCGACCTTTTACTTCGCCGAGAAATACGACTGTGAAGAGCTTGTAAGCGAAAGCAAGAGTTTCATTCACGAGAACTTTGCATCTGTGGCAGTCATGGATGAATTCCTTAGTTTGGAAGCCAAAGAGGTGGAGAGATGGATTTCAAGCGATGAGATTGTTGTTAAAACGGAAGCTGATGTTTTTCAGATTGCGGAAAGGTGGGTTGAACATAACAAGAGCGAGCGGAAAGCAGGATTTGAAGAGCTGCTTCGTCACGTTCGACTGGTTTTCGTATCGCGTGACTATTTGTTGAATGTCGTGACAAACGAACTCGTTCGTGACAGCGCTGATTGTTTTAGGCTGGTTTCAGATGCCATAAAACTGACTACGTTTTCAACTGATGTTGATTTTCCTCAGTCACCAAGAAAAGGACTTGAAACACGTGCCATAGTGGCTGCCGGAGGAAAATATGCCTGCTGTTATGTCCCTGCTAAAGATGAATGGAAAATTTTACCTGAACTTTTGTTGGAGAGAGACCATGGAACTCAAATGATTACATTCCGCGATCAGTTGTATATGTTTCATAGTTGCAATTCAGTACAGCGGTATGATCCTGTGTTTAATGGTTGGTCATCATTGGACCTCAAAATGCCATCTTTTGACTACTTGGCTATTGTTAAGGGAGACCTGTATTCTGTTGGGCAACCGTTTCTGTTTGGATCGTTTCTGATTTCTGAAGATAAGGATAAAGTCATCAAAAAATACCATGTAGAGTCACATTTATGGCAGACAATTCACACCTCTAATCCATGCTCTAGGAAAGAGTCTTGTGTCATTGGATCTGGTAAACATTTGTATTTTTTAGGTGGGAAGTCCACACATACATCCCAATATGTTGCAAAAGCTCACAGATTTGACACTGTGGAGATCAAATGGGAGGAAATTGCAGACATGCAGCAGGCTAGGGGTGGGGCTTTTGGTGTGGCCACTCAGGAAAAGATCTTTGTTGCTGGAGGAGCAGATGAAGAAAGCACAGTATTGAAAACATGTGAGGTGTACAATGTTTCCTCAAACGAGTGGCATTTAATTGCAAACTTGAATGTTTATCGCATTCATGGTAGCATGGATTGTCTTGGTGGAACATTGTATGTGCTGGGTGGCTTTGACCAAACTAAGAAAAAACCAGAATATTCAGTTGAATGTTATAACTCCACACAGGGCAAGTGGATTGTGAAGACAACCATACCAGTGGAAAAGAACTGTAAGAACAAACATGCATTCAATTGCTGTGTGCTTAAGTTCTCCAAAGGAGTATTGAATGATCTCTATGAACCAAGTTTTGATGATTAGCCATACTCGAACTGAACTCAAGTGAATAAAAATTACCTATAGAAACTTCTGAAGAAACAATTTGTAACAGAGATGGAATCCTCTTGATTAAAAGCTAGACAAGATAAGGTAGTACAAAGAACAATGACTGAACTTTCCCATCAACCTTAGTCAGGAGAGAAACATGGAAATTTCATTGCATGTTGTTATGTGATTGCAAGAGAACAACACTCAGCCTTTTTTCTCTTTGTGCTAACAAATCCTTGATAAGTCTCCATGTAGTGTTCTGTCTGAGAGCAGTCTTTTATCAATTTGTATTGTCCATTTTTAAAAGTGGTCCATAACCTTTGAAAAATTTGTATAAGCTTCACTGATCTCCACACCCTTAAGAACTTGTAGAATTCAAGTTGAAAGAGGAATTGAACACTAAAATCTATAAGCTGATGTTTAAAAATTCCAATCATTGTTAACTGAAATAGAATTATCTGTATGCATGTTTCACTTGAGCGCAGTATTCTAGAATTTTCATTGTACAAATTTGAGGCTTTGCTTGATCAAAAAAAAGGAAGTGTATTTGATCTAGGATGAGAATCTCACGAGACTAGCTTTTAGCTTAAACAAGCCAATTTAAAATAAGCTCATGATGGAAACACAGATGAAATAAAAGTACACTTCATGCACTGTTGATTCTATCATAATATGGAAAGCTTTGCACATAGGAACCTAGTTAATGGCCCAATCCTCCAACAAATTCTCCCAGGGAGAGGGGGGTACTTCATGGTAATAGGTTAATGGGGATGTGCCTCCTGATGGGGTCTCTTGTTTGCAACTGGATTGACTTTAATAACGTCACATCTTCAACAGAGTTACTAGTATGGGGTGGCACATATTTGGGTGCAAGAAAATTATGGTAAGAGATTTAAGAATGAGAAGATTCTTGGTTAAAAAGTTGTTATCATTATGATCACGAAAAGTTATGTTTTCCCAAAATTGACTACGATGGGGTCACTAATTGGCCAAAGAAAAGACTTAAATGGGGTAGGGGCTCTGAGAGGCCAGCAGCACAAACTCAGCAAAAATTTACCGAAGCACCCCCCCCCCCTTGGCAAATTCTCTGTTTATTCACTCCACCCTCAATCTGGAGCAAAGTTTCTGAATTAAACACAGATTGTATAAGGATAAGGTTCAAGGCTATACAATTGGTTGTACCATAGGGTAACTATTTATTTGAATGTGATCATGAGGACGTGCCAATAAAGTATGTATGAGTTACATATTCATGACACAGACGCTATGTTGGATCTCCAATCTCAACTGCGTGGTTTAACGTGTTTGGTTAACAAACGATAACTTAACAATTACATAACTGTGAATAATGGCCAGCTGTATTGCCATACATAACAGTATGCAATTCGAATCATGCACTTCACTTACCCTCCCCTTTCTACCTCCCCCAGGTATAATCTTGTCTCCAACCACATTGCAGAAAACTCCACAACAATAGTTAAGGAATATTTGCATAAAGCATTTATCTTCTGCTCTTAACCTCTCCCATCTCCCATACCTTTCCTGCCCCCACCTCTGCACTTGTTCCCCGGCATAGTGTCTCTCTGTTAGACTGGCTGGGGCAGCCTGGATACTGCAAAATTCTCTTATTTCTGCATTTGTCTTCAGACATTACTTATTATAGAAATCTCTGCTTACATGCACTTGTATTTGAAAGCCTGTAAAAGCTATTGTTTTATATATTGCATTTTTTTAGGAGAGAGCATGTTTTGTAGAAGAACCTAATTTCACTGTATTAAGTAATCTAGGTGGTAAACAGGAAATTTTTCTTGCTATATACGTAATATTTAGTGGTCTGGATCACCAACAACTTTTATGTGGCTCATTTGATAGAATATAATCTTACTGTAAAACTAAAACTGGTTGGGGCTGAAGCTCTCACAATTGACTTTTCTCTATTCTGTGCTTGAGACAAATGTTTTCTTATTGTTGCTCTTTATAGAAACGACTATTTTCTTTAAATGCAGTACATGTCATTCTTCAAAGTTGACCCTTTGATCTCTTAAATCTGATATCTCCTTACAATATCACCCCTGAATCAAATGCTAAGGTCATGAGAATACAGGAAATGATCACCAAGTAAAGATAGTGAGCTCCAAATTCTCTTTATCAGCACCTTAGGAAATGTATAGAGAACAGTATAGAGAATATGCATACTGATGATGAGGTTATAAAGGGTTCATAATTATGATTAGTTGATGAATCTGCTGTGATATTTGGATATACGGCAATAAAAACCTTCGATGTTCTTTGATTTCAAATCTTTAATCCACACACTATCCAGATGGCAGCCAACGAGTACCACAACAACAACTTTCGCTAGGCATTACAGGATGCCTACAAACACAACCTTTTCACACTTCTGGTACAATACCCCACATCTGCCACCTAAATTATTCAAATAAAGATACTGAAGAAGCCTTGTATATTGAATGTGAGAATCTAAATGTAAGACTAAAACATAGATTTACTCATTTCCTTTCACTTACTTTTTGCAGTTATTTTTACTATTAGTGCAGGTTTCTGTTTTACCATTCCTAAGTCCCTTTTTAATACTTTGATCTACTGCTGATCAGTGTCTAGTTCTATTGAATTTCAAATAATAATAATCATGTCTTGATAATGGTAACATCATATAATATATAGCATTTAGCAGGGCAAAAACGTATGTCACAACTTCAAAACATAGTTTTAAAGTGAAAATTCAAATCAGACAACAAATATTATATAGCAACTGACATACACATAAGATTGTGTAACGTTTTTTTTTTTTAACTAAAAATACGGTTTTTATTAAGAATTTATTAGTCATGTCACATTTGAACTTCCACATCACAAATCATCCTAGTCGTAACCTAAATTAAGGTTGTGGTGAATTAATTTAGCTGATTTTCAGCACCATCTCTGGCTGAAAGAAAAAGTGTCATCATTCCAGATAGAATTTCAGATCAAGCAAGGAGTTCCAAAAGGGTCCTGTGTTCACTTTGCATAGGCTTGAAAATTGTTTGAGAGGGTTAAAAGACATCCACATAGTGTGCACACCTCTGCACAGACAGGTAATAGGCCCTTTGCAGCTGGGGTCACGTGATCAATTTTAGATATATATATTATGGGATACAACTTGAAGAATACCAGAGATGGAAAGAGCATATCGAAAACACCAATACGGCCAAGTTTGGGCCCCGGGAATTAAAGAGCACTGTTTTTACAGCGGTTTGAACTTTCGGAAAATTTAGAGGACTTGTATGGAAAATGTTGCTGGGGAGCAAGGCCCTGCTCTCCAACAACTTTTTCCACATAAACCTTCTTATTTATTAAAAAATTCAGTGTCATCAAATCTCATTTTTGAATAATGGGGGCCTCAAACTTGGCCATTTTGTTATTTTCGAAATGCTTTTTCCTTTTCTGAATTCGGCTAAGTTATAGCCCAGAATTTCATGAAAAGTAGGTCACGTGATGGCTTAGCTGCAAAAGGCCTATTATATCTTGTGTTTAAGCTGGACAGTGTCTCAAATCAGATGAAGCCATCGCTGCTATGGAGCTCAGAATATGAAAAATCAGAGCATGGATGTTTTTTGGTGATAAACTGAAGATCAGTGACAACAAGACAGGGTTTATCATCATGATGGATATGAAGCAGCAGCTCTCCAGGGTCCATGTAGATTCACTCAAGGCTAGGGAAGTTTGCGTTCCATCTGTGAAGTCAGTCAAGAACCTTGGAACTTGGATTGAAGGTAACTCGAGACTTCAAGAAAATATAAATAACAATTGTTGAGTAAAACACTATCTAGCTTATTTTTATCCCACAAATTTTAGGCTAATAAGGAAATATTTAGGTATATGAAGCAACATAAACACTTTTTTCAGGGGAGTGTAGATTATAATAGTAATATGGACTTTGGGGGCATTACTCCCAGCAAAGTGACTCAAGACCTCAAATTTCAGCATCTAGCCTTATCCTGCACAATATACCAAGATATTCTCATAGAAATGTTCCCAATGAACATGTATTGCTTACATATCCATGTTTTTTTCTCTTCTTTTAAGTAAAGAGGCCATTGTCGTATAAGCTATCTATTAAAATGTTGTTTTAACCCTTTTCCTACCAGGATGTTATGTCACGCAATGACCTAGGATGTATATCTACGTCCTCAAATAAAAAAGATTAATTACCAAGAGCGGCCTGTTTGTTCGCGATGGCTAATTGGACATTGCTTGGTTGCTGAGAAAAAATTTGATGTGGCTGCTGGTTGGAGAACACGTCTAGGTGTGGTAGAAAAGTGGTTAAAATTTGTTCCATAACCCACAAACTGTTCATGTCATTTACCATTCATTAATTTAAATGTATACTTTTAATATAACTAATCAAGTCCTGCACCCTGGAGGCCAAGTTAACCAAGAAATCAGAACTGATGAAGCACTTTGAAAATGTAACATCAATCAAGACATCCAAGTTGATAAATTCTGTGTCGCTCGTCTTGAATCTAATGTGTATAAGCAAGAAAGCTCATATGCTCTAGCTATAGGCTCTTCACAAGTCAAGTTTGACATTTAATTACGGTGTAACCAGTCAGGCTTCATTTGCAATATGTTACTTATAATTTTTTCCTTCTGGGAATCTACAGGTTCCTTTTTCTTCTTTTTAAAATTAACAGAAAACAAATGTAAGGATACCTCTATACGTTGATTGTTGTTGTTAGGCGATTGTCTGCAAATTACTTGATGACTGAATCATTATTCTTTGACAGAATACATACTTACAAATGATCGATAGAGATTAATCATAACAAACTCCATCGGGAAATGAAAAAACTCTTTAAACTATAATCTGAAGCTGCTTCAATTCAATTTTCAGAAAAAAATACAGCTGATATCAAATTATTTTTCGATTCTATCACCTTATTTCTTAGGCACTTTGAGGCTGTATTCCACTAAAAAAAATTCTCTCTGAAGTGTATGGAAGGAACTGAGGGAATTCTGCTTCTGCATCTGCGCTTTTTTCTCCAATTTTGTAATGAACTGTAGTTAAGGAATATTTGTATTTAGCATTTCTCCACCGATCTTAACCTTGACTGAATGTATTTTCCTCTCCCATCTCCCGTACCCCTCCTGCCCTCATCCCCCGCGTCTGTCCCGATCCCGCAGTGCAGCCTCCATGAATCTCTTTCCTCTGCTGACCGGGGTAGCCTGGGTACCGCAAAGTTCTTTACTTTCCGCGTTCGTTTCTCTGACATTATTGATTATAGCAGTCTCTGCTAACAAACCCCGAAAACAAGGCTAATCCTGAGACAATGGATGATCTTCCACCCATCACTGTCACTGAACAGAATTCTTTCTGTGTGGAAATGATGAAACGGCTCAACATACAACGAAAACAAGGCCACTTATGCGACTTAACTTTGATCACAAAAGATGACCAAGAGTTTAAGGCTCACAGTAATGTTCTTTCCGCTGCGAGTCCGTTCTTTTGCAAGCTTTTTCAGAGCGACATGAAGGAAAATCGGGAGGGTGTCGTTCGGTTTGAGGAGGTTTTAGGATCTGTTATGGAAGATGTCCTGGAATTCATCTACACCGGGACTGTGGAAGTAACTGAAGAAAATGCCGAAGAGTTAGTCGCTGCAACGAATTATCTCATCGTCCCAAATTTAAAAACAATCTCTGGTCGATATCTACGGCAAAAAATGAGAAACTCCAGCTGCATTTCAACCTTCTACTTCGCCGAGAAATACGATTGTGAAGAGCTTGTTAACGACAGCAAGAGTTTCATCCACGCGAACTTCGCATCTGTGGCAGACATGGATGAATTCCTAAGTTTGGAAGCCAAAGAGGTGGAGAGATGGATTTCAAGTGATGAGATTGTTGTTAGAATGGAAGCTGATGTTTTCCAGATTGTGCAAAAGGGGGTTGAACATAACAAGAGCGAGCGGAAAGTAGCGTTTGAAGAACTTCTTCGTCACGTTCGACTGGTTTTCGTATCGCGTGACTATTTGTTGAATGTCGTGACAAACGAACTCGTGCGTGACAACCCTGGTTGTTTTACACTGATTTCAGATGCCATAGAACAGACTACGTTTCCAAGCGATGATGATCTTTCCCAGTCCCCCAGAAAAGCGCTTGACACACGTGCTATAGTGGCTTGTGGAGAAGACTATGCCTTTTGTTATGTCCCTCAGAAAGATGAGTGGAAAAGATTACCCAACAGGTTGGCAAAAGAGCAGTTCGACTTCCTTTCAACCCACGTGATAAGATTTCGTGATCAGTTGTTCATATTTCATAAGAGGGGTAGAGCAGAGAGGTATGATCCTGTCTTTAGTGGTTGGTCACCTGTCCATTTCCACATAGTTCATGATAAGTTGACTGTCATTAGAGGAGAGTTATTTTCTATTGACAAAAGTTTTGGGGGAGATCAAGTTAATAGCATCATAGACATTTAAAAATTCCATGTTGAGTCATGTTCATGGCAAAATTTTCACTCCTCTCCTCAGTGCTACAGGAAAGAGTCTTGTGTCATTGGATCTGGTAACTTTTTGTATCTTTTGGGTGGGAAGTCCCCACATACATCCCAATATGTTGCAAAAGCTGACAGATTTGACATCACAGAAAGGAAATGGGAAGAAATCAAAGATATGCAACAAGCAAGAGGTGGGGCTTTTGGCGTTGCCACTCAGGAAAAGATTTTTGTTGCTGGAGGTGCAGATAAAGAAAACACAGTGTTGAAAACATGCGAAGTGTACAACGTTTCCTCAAATGAATGGCAGTTAATTGCAAACTTGAATGTTTGCCGCACACATGGTAGCATGGTTTGTCTTGGTGGAACATTGTATGTGCTGGGTGGCTGTGACCAAACCAGGAAAAATGGTGAACATTCAGTTGAATGTTATGACTCCACACAGGGCAAGTGGATCATGAAGACAACCATACCAGTAAAAGGGGACTGTAAGAATAAACATACATTTAAAGGGTGTGTGCTGAAGTTTTCCAAAGGAGTATTGGACAATCTTGATGGTGCAGTTGAAAGCTTGTGGGATAAATTGTTTCTGTTCAGGTAATAGGACACATTTTTCCAGGCACAATAACCTAAGAAAGCCACACAGGATGTTGGGAGAACATGAGGCAAGCCTATGAATTATGAGCGGAAGGCAAGTGATTTGTAAGCTTTTCAAGCGTTCTTCTAACATCCCAAGTGGTTTTGTCATGCTATAGAGTTGGGAGAAAATGTGTTCTATTTAACAATTATTCCACGAGTGCGCGTTGGATATGAGATGAAAGATAGCCAACGAGGCGCATAGCGCCGAGTTGGCTATAATCATCTCATATCCAACAAGCGCGAGTGGAATAATTGTTTTATTAAAAACGTCCTCAAGACATTAGACAAATCTTACCAAATCTTAATTTTTTTAGCTCCCTTTTAATTTTAAACCGATGTGTATGCTTACCATATTTGTAGATTATGGTATTTTGGCTCATATACCATAATAGCTAAGCCAATAAAAAGTCTTGAATTGCATTATCCAATGATACAGTTTTTGATAATGCTAGTTACATGCAGGCTTTATAACCTTACAAAGCATCCACTTGGAAAATGAATTTGCCAGTCAGATGATGTATACTAATATGTTCATTATATGTTGTGAAACATATCCAATGTCTCATGATGCTTTACAACACTTTGCCGGGGGGCTTTGGCCAGACTGCATGGAGCAGTTTATAATTTTTTAAGGAAAGTTTTGCAGATGTCCACAATTTGAGAATCAAGGCAAGATCACAACAGTGGGAGCTATGTTCCCTTCTCTTTTCAAACAGTGTGAGTTTTTTTAAACATCCCCTGCGAACCAGTACAGTCAAACCTTGATTATTTGGACTCATTGGGACTTGACCAAATAGTGCAGAAAATCAAGGGTCCAGATAATTGAGAATATGAAAACAAATGATGAACAAAAGCTGATTAAATCAAGAAAGGGATATTTCATTGTGAAACAAAACATTTACAAATTGTTTTGAAAAAGATATGGTCTACATCTTCACTGTCCATTGTGAATACCCATACACACACATGTGTATTTACAATTAAAATTACCACTATGAAAAATGTTTTTAAAATTGGAAAAGCGAGAGCAAAACAAACCTGCCTTCACTTCACTTTTCAATGCTGAAGTTTTAAAAAAGAATATGGCTATGGCTCTTGATCATGACAAATAAATATTTATGACAAAATTGGGACCAGAGAAAAAGTTCAGATAATTGAGGCCTGGATAATCGACGTTCGACTTTACCGAGAAGATGCAGGTGATGTGGCTCACGGTTTTTCGACCTTATTTGAGAAGACTAGATTGTCTAACAATTTGCAGATGTCATAGCAAATGGGGAAAACTGTCTTCAGTAATTTTAAGACCCTGATTGTTGGTCCAGTTTGAGACTTGAACTCTCTACCTCCTGCGTGGTAGTCGGCACTCAGCAGCATGAGCTAACCAGGCAACAGTTAACCATGCTCAAACTGTACTTAAATGAAAGAAAATTACCTCAAGAAAAATGCACCAAAGAAACAATTTGTAACAGCAGCAGATCTCCTTGGACAAAGCTAGATAAGGTTAGGCAGCACAAAGAACAATGACTTAACTTTCCCATCTGAACTCTCTATCTGGGAAGGGAAGAGATACGAAATTTTCACTGCAGATTGTTATGTGATGCTCAGATAAGAACACTCAGCCTACTTTATTTTAGTGATACTGATTCCTTGATAAGCTTCTGCTTAGGTTTCTAGGGTTTAATTGTTTTGTTTTGTTTTATTCATTTTTGTGTTCCATTCATTTGTTTTTGGTTTCGTTTTACTTGTCACCAGTTTTCTTTGCAAATTTTGAGCAGGTGTCACTAATTTCTACACTTTTGAGAGACAAATCGAACACTTAATCTTGTAATTTTGTCATTTAAAAATGTTATTTTTTAATAATTGCAAGAGTCCTCTTTACCCTGGTTTCACTACAGCACAAATTTTTTAGAGGTTTCTTTTCTACAAATTTTAGGTTTTGCCGGTTAAAAAAAAAAAGAGGAAGTGCATTTGATCCAGGATGAGAATCTATTAGACCTACTTTTTTTCTTAAACAAGCCTGCTTGAATTAAGTTTGTATTGGAAACATCATTGAAAATAAAAATATACTTAAGACATTGCTGATTCTAGTGTTATGCAGCAAGTTTGTCACAATGAACCTAGTAAATGACACAAATCTAACAAATTCTCAGTTGATTCACCCCCCCTGCCAACCCTCCTCCCCACCCTGAGAAAAATTTCTGAAGTGAAGACATGTGGCAGAACATTAAGGCCTTAATATGCAGTGGGATTGGTTATATCATGGGTTAGCTACTTATTTAGACTGGTAGTGTTTCAGAAAAAATATACACGTAGTTATAATTGAAGCCTATAAAAGCTTCCATTTTATACAGTACTGCCTTTTTTAGGGGTGTTTGGGGAGAGAGCCTTTAAACTGTACATATTATCTTGTAATTCAAGCAGTAAACAAGACATTTTCTTGTCACTTATAACCCTAATAAGTGGACTGGGTTACCAACAACTTTTAGTGGCTCAATTGTTAGAGTATAGTCTGACTGTGAAATTATAACCAGGTGGGGTGACTATTTTCCTGCATGCATCACCGGTAGATCCCTAAGAGTGACTAACATGTAATTTCTCCTTACAAGATCACCCTGAATCAAAAACTAAAGTCATGAGAATAAAGGGAATGATCACTAACTAGAGATTACTAGCTCTAGATTGTTAAACAAATTCTCCATGTTAGCATCTTAGAAAATGTACAGAGAATAGTATGGAGAATATGCAGACTGACATTAGGGTGTGAAGGGTTTATAAGTTTCCAAGTTTACTTCGTACTATACAACTAGGTGAAGAAGAAAATGAGAAGTTGATATCATGGAGGTTTGTATATGTGTGTACAGTGACCAAAGTAGCCGTAGCTTTCGTGTTGGTTATAATATTATGATTGGATGTTGAATCTGCAACCTCAATTTTTCAAATGAAAATAAGAGAGGCCATGTTTAATGAATGCAAGAATCTTACACTTCTCCAAGAGTTTAAACACCTAGACTTACTTGATTCTTTTTAAATTCTTTTTTATTATGATCACTGTTGGCAGTTATTGTTTTGTTGCTCCAAATTCCCTTTTTATTACTTCAGTTTACTGCTCCACT